AAGGTCTTCCAGATGACTTGGAGTTCGCGATGACTCCTTCCACTCGGTTCCATCTCTGGCAACACAAAGACCAATTGAACCTGACTTTATGACCTCATACGCTATAACATTCTGACAAGAAAACTAAAATGAGAATGGAAAAAAGAAAGAAACTTATCAAAGATCGATACGAGTTGAAACCTGCGCTCGTTTCATTCTTTACTTTCCAGGAGGGATAAAATAATCAAATGAAGCACAGAACAATTATCACATTAATTTTGTAAAATGTTAACATCCCTGAAAGGCAGCAATGCCGAACACGAGGAAATAAATTTAAAAACAAAAAACAATTATCACTTCCATTTTCAATGTGAACCGTACGACATAGTTATCGCATCATTTTCAGAGGAAGGGGGGTGTATTCTACGATTGCGATACTGTAGTATCTTCACGACAATGAAATGATTAGACCGAACCAACACCGATACGTCCAGAGTATGGTAGTTTTACAAATAAATAATGAAGGGTGACAAAATGAACCCTCCCGCTGTTCTGGGGATATCATATGATCAAATAATTAAAAAAATAATTTATAGATTCCCACTATATCATAAAGAGAATAAATAAAGAGGAAAAGTCACAATGTTTGAAAGAAAGCACTTATAATCTTAATTGAGAATTGAAGAAACAATGGATGTAGGTGTCATTTTGACCCCTGCCCCGTTCTATTGTTACGACACTACCATCTTCAAATTTCTTTAGAATTCTTCGCTGCAAGTGTCCTTTTGGGAGCCTTTAAGACACTACTTGTTTGAGGGCTTCTACATCTTTGCTTCGGTCTCGGCATTACATCCATGGAGGCCAGCAGTTCTCCGAGTAGAGCAAATGCTCGGACGCTGAAGGTACGAATAGTACGTGGTACGTTGAGTGCAAAAGCCAGCTTTGCTGTCACTGAGTACTTTGTCCGGGATACGGTCACGATTGTATGGACATGTCCGAGTAGGTAGTCGAGACCAAAGGAAATAGAAAACTAATACAGGAGAGTCTGTGCCATTCTCTAAGTACTATTAGTATTCTGTTTTCTTCAGATTACCTTCTTCACTTTCGGATAAAAAAAGTGTCTCCCCGCTCCCCCCCCCCTCTCTCTCTCTCTCTCTCTCCCGCGTCCTATGCTCTGACACTCTCAAGACGTATGATTTAATAATTGTTATGTTATAAATGTGGACTCTCCACGAAGGTTGGGTAGAAAAATGGTATTTATTGGTTGGGGTTAATTGGGGGCGTGATGTCTTCTTTTGAAGATTTTCCGTACTTTGCCTTCTCTAAAGGTGGTTTGTGTACACGATCGTTCAATTTGTATATTGCAAGAAACTGTATCCCTATTATGTCTGTACGAGCTCCATTCCCTTCGTCTGAGCTTCATGGTAGCTGTGAAGAATGGCAAATGTTACGCGGCTTGTCATTTCGACACCTCGTGCAGTAATCTCATGATACGCTCATTGGTGCAAACGCCGGTATCACGAATCGGTGTCCGGTACGAACGTCAACTGGGACCGGAAAAATGTTCCCACATCCTACGTTCACATCCTTTCATATTGTGGCGCTTAACCTCTAGAGAACAAATATAAGCCGTCCTTAAGACCTGTACAATAACTAGTACCTGTTGATAGTATATTCTCCACAAATGAAACAAACGATGTAGTGATTTATCTCAATCCCTAGTAGTCATTCTTCAAGACGCAGAGGAATGTTCACTATGAAGACAACTTAAGTAAAGACTGAGCTACTGAATATGGTCAAATTTTGGCACAAAGTTTAAATCCGAGACGACATCATGACACACTTTATCGACCTGAATGAGAGAGAGAGAGAGAGAGAGAGAGAGAGAGAGAGAGAGAGAGAGAGAGAAAGAACACATGAGAAAATCCAAGGCAATAGAGAGTCCAGAGAGTCGTCACAACGTCTGGCAGGAAAGTGTTTGGGGGGGGGGGCAACCTCTGCTGAGCACGTAAGACATTTCTTGAGAATGTCCGCTGTACTATGCAATCGCCGAGGTACGTGTGTCTTAGCACATTTGAGATCTGCAATGATATTTGCTTTACTTAGGTTTATTTAGGTTCGGGCTGCGAATTTCGTCGACTACTTGGATTTAAGAAAGCACTATTTTATGAACACTCGTCAAGTCACCACCTTTTATTTTTGAAAACATATAGAAGTAAAAATTATCATGGCATTAACGATGATGCAAAGGCGCTGCTTTATAATATAATTAAATCTATTGAACATTTGGTTTCACGTGACCTTTCATCGATTATGAATAGTGCCCCTGTGCTATTAGAGTAGAAATGACTCCCGTATATTTCAATAAACTGTCGGCTTTTTAAATATTTATTTTAAAAATTTGTATTAATTATAATCATCGAGAGAAACATTACCTACATTAAACTTTAATAAGCGTTTGGGTAAAATATAGAATGTTCATAGTCCCAAAAATTTTCGTAATTTTTCACGGAGAGGAAGAACTTTCAACACCAAATTAACCATAATTTAACTATTAATTTTTCAAAATATTAATTGATATATAAATTTAAAAATGTAAATAAATATTGTCCTTTTTATCATATTTGTTTTAATGTTTGCATTTTCCTGTGCTGTATTCAAATTTTTATGGATGAATTTCAATATTCAAGTCACGAGTTTAAAATAATATTAGCTCAAATGATTTTAATGTTAACATTGTTTATGAAACGCATTTTCAAAATGTTATGTGGCAAGTTTTAATGAACATTTGTTGCTATTTCTTGCAATACAGTTGGGACACGACTTGATAGCCCGGGTGACAGAAGAAAACCGTTGATTTGGTAGCCTACGTAATATTTATGCTTAGCTTTTACACAAATCGTCTTGAAGATCAACAAAATTTTAGCTGCTCAAACACATTACGATGCTGTGTTTGTACAACACGTTCAGGAAATGCAAGTAAATGACTACTTATTTATTGCAAAGTCCTTTAGTGAATGGTTTATATTATTGCAAAAATGTGGAATAACTATCTTCGTTTTCACGCGAAACATCTGAGAATGACAATGTCAACGACAAGAAAACTGTTTAGACGTGTGAATAGCAAATTACGAAGATGAGCGGATCCTGTAACCTACTATTAACTTAATATAACCATCTAACTTTTTTTGCTTCAAAGCATAAATCTATTTTTGTTTGAAGGTGCTGTAATTTTCCATTTCTGATTTTTGGGAAAAGTAGAACATCTAAAAAACTTACTGTGTCTCTCCCGGTACCTTTTGCCCTAGTACACTACCAGACACAACTAGTTATCGTGAAAATACAACTTTATTTTAAAGAAAGAAGAACATTTCGCTGCGAGAAAGTCTGAGACGTTCTTTTCTCTGCGCTAAACAAATCAAAAACGTTTTAAAACAGCAGCGGAAAACCTCCAACAAAGAATGATCACGACATTTTAAAAGAAATTCGACATTTTTGCCGTGTTTTATCCATAAGCTCATGGCTTATAGCAGCCTGCCGCTTGGCACCCAGAGGCGACGGTGCTGCCCTTCGAACTAAGAGCTGAGTGTTCTGGACATTCTATGGATTTGGTCAAGAACAAATATTAATGTTAATTGGCTGGAATAATGACAAACTACAACACACAGTTTTGCAAAAACTAGAGGTGCAACAGAATGGCACAGACATTCTTGCAAAAGGTTTCTAATTTCTTCGGTCTCCCTTCAAGGTCTTGCCACAACCTCTTGTCAGCTGCCATCTATCGCCGCCCGAACTACAAATTTTCTGAATTGTTCGGGTTTCCTAGTACTAGTAACGAAATATTACTTTATGAATAATGAAGAGCAATACGTCAAATATGGAATTTTTTGTTAGAAACTTTCGAGTCGCTGTTAAGAAAATATCGTTTAAGCGTTAGTGTAAATACGATATTTAAAATTTTGTTTTACAGAAAACTTTTGAGTTTTTGAAAAACATCATTGGAAATAATTTGAAGCACTCGAACTCACAAATGCAATAATGTAAACAAATAGTTGGGAAAGTGTATGTTAACGGCGTGAGATATTAAAAAATTAAATACATTTGTGGAATTGAAAAAAACAACAAAAGAATATAGATAACCACTTTTATGTTAACTTAAATAGTGCATTTAGCACTATCCAATCCACCAACAAAAACAAATTGAAGAAAAACTTTCGAGCTGTTGTCGAGAAAATGGCGTTGGGGCGTTTCTGAAAATTCGAAATTTTAAATCCTTTTTACTTAAAATTTTTGAGTTTTCGTGAGACTTCACGAAATTTCACTCTTATTCTTACAAGAAATTTACAGAAGAAATTTGGAATCGTTTTTGAGAAAATATAGAAAAATGTTCCAGTTTTCATGTAAATTATCTCAAAATTTAAGGAATGTTTCTCAAAATTTAAGGAATTTTTCTCAAAATCGCAAGCTTCGAATGACGCCAGATCGATCAGGAATATTCTTTTTGGAAAAATCGTAGGAATACCTTTGGCGCAAGGGTTGTTCACAGACGGAACGACGGTCGTTTTGAAAAAAGCCTCTTTTTCGGAGTAAAGGATGACCATTTCTGAAATCTGATTACATAACGTGTTAGAGGGAATAATTTACTATATATTAGAAGATAATGTATCTACTATTACAGGGCCGCACAATTCTGGTTTTCTGTCGAAAAATCGCAGTTTTGTGTAGCAGCATATTACTTTCTCTATACTGCATACATACGTACATATATTAGAAAGTAAAAAATAACGAGAATGAGAAAAACGGAGATAGTTTTCGGTTTCAGTACACCCAAAGTCAACAGATCCTTTGCCGTTTTCTGCAAATTTATCATATAAATTAGAATTGTTTTCACACATTGAAAATTATGTATAATACAAGCACGCTAAAGGTATCGTGGTGGCTTAAATATACCAATACAGCTAGTAATAATTATTAAAGCATTTCGTTTCTCTGTTATTCTTTATTCTATATAGTTTACTTACCTTTGAATAAGTTAGTAGCTGTGTTTCAAGGATTTCTACTCGGGAGAGTAGACGGTCTTCATCTATAAGTGCTTTCCAACCAACATCAGAAGCTTGACGTGTATTTTCTACTAATCTTTGCAGCGCAGCAAGCTTGTTTTCCAGTAATTGCTCCCTTTGCAAAGCATCCTAAAAATTTAAAGACAAAATCAGAATACATTTTTACACCAGTAAATATTGACAATGTAGTACCTGTAAATATTGATTGAGTTGATATAGATCTTCCAAAGGCACCATTCCCACCGAACTCACAACAGATGTCGAAGGACTGAAACAAAGACAAAAAACATGTATTTATTGAATGTTAATATTGGATATCGAAAAATGAAGAATGTGAGGAGAAACCACAGCAGAAGGAACTGGAGCAGCGGCTAGAAAATGAGCTGAATAAGGAGTAGTGGCGGTTCATCAGGTAAAGCAAGTGAAGTACCACTCTACCTAGAAATTACCATGAAAATGTAGAAAACTGTGTTGTGTTGAAAATTTATTAAAAATTGGGGGATCGAAGGTTGACCAGAGCTCTGATGGGGTAGGCCAATGCCCATAGACCAATACCACTAAATGCCAGAGGTGCCCCCCTGCAATGGGGTACTCCGACAAATGTGCTATGAGAACAGCGGTCAAGAGCGGAGTATGGTAATCAAGCCCAGTCTCTCACCTCCTTGAGGTGGTCCCTGGGTGCTCTCTGAGATAAAACTCGGAGAATAGCTAATGAGAGAAGGGGTGAGGGCGAGTCTCCGGCGCCGTCACACGGAAACACTCGGCTAAGGGAAGGAAAACTCTAAGAAAAACCGAATGCGGAAGGAGCTCTTCAGACATAGCCAGTTGTAGGAGAGAAAACAAAGAAATCGTGCAGACCGGAGGCAGCCCCAACCAACGTGCTAACACTGCGCAGCGCCCGTAACGCAGCCAGGGGACATATTAACTTCCTGACAAGCAAAGCTGTAGGTCTGACCGACCTGATGACAAACTTGGCACGAAAATGGTAGATTTAGATTTATTTAGTCAAAAAAACAGTAAAAACTACATGTGACGTATGGGGGATAAGATTATCAGCGCACTTTAAGTTCTAGAATCCCTTCGCATCATTTTGAACAATAAATAGTTTAAAAATGAGTAAAATTGTAAAATAAATAAAAATAAATTTTAAAAATCGCAAGATTAGCAATATTTTAAAAAAATAGACTTTTTCTTTCCCGAGTTATAGAAAACTTATTTGCATTGGTAAACGAATTGCAAGTATGATTTTTCTGCATTGCTAACAAAATAGTAACTTGCCCATACCTCTTTTCCTACCATTACAAGCAAAATGAGAGTTCAACAAAACGTGCGCATAGTGAAGCTACATTTACACCCAGAAGCAAAACAAGTGGCCATCTCAGCATTTCAACATGGATCAGGGAAACTGAACAAAAACCTGATCGAGATGGAGGGGTCATTGACCCGGAAGTGAAGTACATTATTTGTTACAAACATATTAAGACTTTTAAAAATAATATACAATACAACTGTAAACTAATTATATATCACTGTTTTGTTAAAATAAACATTAGTTTTCTTTTTGATAATCAACTCTTATTACAACTCTTAATAGGAACTTCGAATGTTAAAGGTCGTAACAACAAATAAGCTGAACGTCTGGAGGAAATGAAAAGAAAGGAAACATGGTTCTAACAGAAACAACAAAAAATTAAGAAATTCGAAAGGTATAGACGACCACTTATCAATCATGGAGTAGAACAGACCAAAAGCGCAGCGACAGAAATTGCCATTATTACTGACAATGGAAGAACAATATAGACAGCATTCGTGTCAGACAGAATTCTTTCCATCATAATTAAAATTTAAAAAAGGGTATTTCTAGCTACTATGGGAGTGTATGCAACAAAAGAAGGAAGAAAAACTGAAGCTAGTAAATTTTACAATGAACAACAAAAGGTTATTGACAAAACAAATCCGAATGATAACATAGTTTTGAACTGCGATTCCAATGCCAGAATTGGTCACAAACCATTAAAGAATGTAAAGAACGAAATCGAGACTGAAGGCGAACAGACAAAATGAAAATGGAGGGGAACTTAGATCTTCTGCAACCTTCAATAAGTTAAGAATAACGAACAGTTTCTTCCGAAAGAAAGACATCCACAAATTCACGAGGGACGCCAGAGGCTAAAAAACGATAATAGACTACTTCTTAGTAAAGCAAAAGATGCTACCGTGGTTCACAGAATCAAGAGTTTCTAGAGGTTTTGACGAGAGTACAGATCAGTTTCTTCTTGTATGAACATTACGATTACCAGAAAGATGGTTAATACTAGGAAACGGGGATGTTTTACTGGTAGTGGTTCTAAAACGTTTAAAGTATAATTGCTAAAAGACAAAAGAATTAAACATCTCTACCAAACAAGATTAACACAGTATTTGTTGCAGAAAACGAATGAAAATATTGACGAGAAAAGGAATAATATTAAATATTGTGTTACAAAAGCTGCACTGTATGCTTTAGGTACAAGGAAAATGAGGTACAAGAGAAGAGGTTTGTGAATATGGAATGAAGAAATTAAAACAATTATACACGATAATACGAATGCCTACATACGATTCTTGCAAAGTCCGAAAAAGACAAAATAGAATATAACAGGACAGGAAAACTCGCAAAAAAGATCGCCTGACCAAATACTGGGAATTTTTATTTTTATTTTTTAATTTGTTGTGTCTGGATTGACGCAACGCGTCTTCAAACCCGTTTGGGGGCGTTGTGCGCTATACGCTTGGGAGTACTCTTCCGTTAATTAGTGCGGGTTCTCCTCCATTGGAGTAATTCTCCATTACCTGGATGTGTCATTATATGTCACTTCTCGTCGCAGTCAGTTGTCAAGAGGGCCGCCAGGAGCATCTCCGCGCATGCGCCTCCTACTACATGCTCCTCCGTCACTATCCAGCGGCTCAGGATGGACGTTATTCATGCAATGAAGGGATTTCAATAGGAATAATACTACAATCAACACGCTCTTGTTTGTAGATAATAGTTTTAGCCACTAATTGTGAAGATGACCTCTAGAAGTTAACATTTAAATTACAAAAGAGGGCAATGGAATGTAATTGAAAAATATCAATCAACAAAAGTAAGGCTATGGCTTTCATAGGTCAACATCCCATACGAACAAAAAAAGTATATACAGCATATCTAATGACTTTCATGTGCAACAAAAAATACCTAAATTTCAGGGTGTCTGCGGCACTATCAAACAAATATTGGGAAAGAAAGCACGAAAAGAAACCAAACTTAATCTTTACAAAACAATTAACATACCTACTCTCCTATATGGATGCAAAACATGGGTAACAACATTTAGAGGAAACAGGAGATTTAACACAGAAGAAGTGAGATTTTGTGAGGTATGTGAAAGGATGCATATTAATGGAGCATGTCAAAAATGAGGATATAAGAGAAGAATTCGGAATTACCTGCTTACAAGAAAAGATGAATACACATAAAAAAAACTGGATAGACAATTTACAAAGAATGGTCAGCGAGAGATTGCCCAAACAGGCCTATTACTATCACCCAAATGGAAAAGGAGAAGTAGGAAAACCAAAGAAATGGTCTTCTCTAAACAACTTTGCCGGAACAGGCTACAGCAGCTTAAACCCATGATGCTGCTGATGAAGATGATATATAAAATTATAATTCAAGAGCTTACGAATAACTTGCTGTTATTAACTCGTGAGTCTACCATTTCGCCTTTGTTCTTTCAATGATTGTCCCATGATTGCGTCGAGGCGGCCCGGCCACGAGCACAATACGTCCATATCCTGACATCTCCTTTGCAACGCAAAGGAAAGCGTTTGAGAGCCTTTGTCAAACATCTTTACGTGTTAGCCTGAGGTTCTAAACGAAATCGCGTGATGGTTGCTATGGCACAAGCGAACAAATAAATTCCAGTAACACAAAAAGCCTACAACATACAGATTCACAAAATAGGCAGCTTTGTTGCGAGTCTTTGGGAAAGAGATAGTTTTGTGTTTAACAAATATTGCTATTTACCGGGAACTAGTGTGCGTACTGTGTGTAGTCCGAAGGAAGGCGTACGAAGAATTTATTCGCCCTTAAAAATCCACGGCTTCGATCGAGTTTGAACCCGGCAACTTGGGTATAACAGTCCCATAAGCCAACCGTTACACCATCGCCGCGCGCGTTTAAAGCTGGTTCGGCTGCAGTGATCAAAACGTGATTTGGAGTATATTTTTAAATGTAGTATAAAAATGGAAGGGTGCGCCCTCCCGCCTTGGCTCGAATGGTGATTTAAGCAAATAAAAGAGTAAGAGAATGCTAATGTACGATGGGGATCGCGATCCTACTGCGTTTCGTTGCGCCGTTTTCCATGGCTATTTATCGCACACTCTGCACGTCGCCTACACTTCAATTGAAACAGAAAGTCCTTTGAAGATCACGAGCTGAAAAGTGACGGGACACTCATCCAATCGGGAGCATTTATACCAAAACGTTTAAGTCGTAAGGGAGCTCGTTATTCTATGACAGAGCCCCCCGCCCGCTTTCCTGTTGGCTCGTGACCTTGAAAGGACTTTGTTTTATCAGAGTATAAATGTAGTCCCCCTTCAAGGTCACGAGCTGGAAGGCGAGGGAGACTCTTGTCATCCGGGAACTTCAATACCAAAAACTTAAGTGGTAACGAAGGTCTCGACTGGATGAGCGTCCCCTTCTCCCTCCAGCTCGTGTCCTTGAAGGGACACTATGTTAAATCGGAGTCTAGAGCGGGTTGCCAAGAGTAAGTGGCCTTCATACGATTCTTGGGGTGCAAGTGGCCTGCTAACGGAACCTCCTCCACCACTGCTGCTGCTGCTGCTGCTGCTGCTGCTGCTGCTCCTCCTCCTCTTCAGGGCGAGCGCCGAACCCTTCCTTCCTTGCGTAGGTGCGCAGCAGCTCCGAGCGGGTCCTACACAAGGACTTAAATGCTGCAAGACTCTTATTGGGGATAGCAATTCAACCCGATTTCACCACGCCACTACTGTCGAGGACAACGGAAAGCTCAAGAAAACTAAGAGAATGAGGGCACGAAACGGAAGTGGATCAGGTTGCGAACGAAGGCTGCGCTATACTATGTACTACATCATACGCTATGAATTTCCATGAGTTTTCTTTCTCCATCTTCAGGACTGTTTTACATCAATAACACGATTAGAGCAAGTATATATCGCTCAATAAATGTGACCAAATACAATGAAACAAAGAAAAACACAAAAGGA